TCTTATTCCCACATGCGTCTTCTAGGTGTCCTTGCTGACAGCGTGCACTGGGTTTACTTCTTGGCTCTCTATTCTGGTCTATTGGTCTATGTGTCTATTTTATAGCATTTTGATTGCTATGGCTTATGATATAACTGAAACCAGGGAGTGTGATACCCTCCAATTTTTTCTCTCTCAAGACTTCGCTGGCTACTCAGTCTTTTGTGGTATCATATAAATTATAGGATGCCTTTTCTATTTCTGTGAAGAATGGCATTAGAATTTTAAGAGGGATTACACGGAACTTGCATGTTGCTTGAGGTAGTATAAATTATTTTACATTTATATATATTCTGATAACATCATATACAGCATATGTTATTCATCATACATTGTAGTTGGGTTCATTCTGACAAAATCATACATGTGAGGAGTTTGATTTCTATCTTCAATTCCCCTTTTTCCTATCCCTTAGTATGAACATTTTAACATAGTATGGGAAGTACTATCAAAAGCAATCAGACAAGAAAAAGAAATGACATCCCTACCACCTCCAGTACTGTGTTGAACAGAAGCAACAGGGCAAACTTGCCATGTACCAGATCTTAAAGAAAAACTTTGTTTTCCTCCACTGATTATGATGTTAGCTATGGACTTTAAAAAATGGCCTTCATTGAAGAAATTTTCTTCTACACCTAAATTGTTGAACATCTTATCAAGAAAAGATATTGAGGGCTGGGGATATAGCTCAGTTGGTAGAGTGCTTGCCTCAAATGTACAAGGCTCTGGGTTCAGTCCCCAGTACTGCAAAAATAAAAAAGAAAAGATGTCAAACTTTGTCAATAACTTTTCCAGCATCTATCAAGGTGGTCGGTAGTTTTTACTTTTCCTTCTGTTACCCAGTATGTCATGCTGACCGATGTGCATCTGTTAAACCAACCTTGCATCCCAGGAATAAATCCCACTCGGTCATGACACACAATCTTTGATACATGTTTGGATCCTGTTTGCTAGAATTTTATCGAGGGCTTCTGCAAGTGTGCTCATCATCAGAGCCGCTGGCCAACAGCGTTCTTGTGTCTGGTTTTGGTATTAGGGTAACACTGGCCTCATTACATGAGTTTGGAAAAAAATCCCTCTAGTTCCTCCTCCCACATGGTCTTTTTGGGGGAATATTAAGAAATCTGGCATTGATTCCTTCAATACTTTGTAGAATTCAGCTATGAAGCCATCTGGTCCTGGGTTTTTCTTTTGGAGGAGGCATTTAATTACTGCTGCAGTCTATTTGTTATCGGTCTGTTCCGGCCTTCTATTTCTTCCTGATTAAACATTGGTATGTTTCTAGGAACTTATCCATTTCCTCTAAGCTATCTAATCTGTGAGCATACTTGTTCATAATAGTCCCTTGTGATTCCTTTTATTTCTGAGGTATCCATTATAATGTCTCCACTTTTATTTCAGACTTTATATGAGGTCCCTCTGCTTAATCTAGCTAAGTCTCTATCAATTTTATTTAAAAAAACTTATCAGTTTGTCAATTTATTCTATAGCTCTTCAATTGCCTATTTTATTCATTTCTTCCATCACCTTTATTATTTTCTTGGGTTTAGCTGTTCTTTTCTAGTTTTTTGATGTGTAATATAAACTTTCCTCTTAGAATTACTTTTGCTGCATTTCACAGGTTTTGGTACATTGCATTTCCATTTTCATTTGTCTCAAGGTCTTTTTAAATTTCCCTTTTGTTTTATTCTTTGACCCACTGGTTATTTTAATTTACACATATTTATAAAGTTTCCAATTTTCCTCCTGTTGTTGATTTCTCATTTCATGCCATTCAGTCACTTGATGTAATTTGTCTTCCTAAATTTGTTTTGTTTCGTGACTTAATATATTATCTATCCTAGAGAACATTCCATATACACTTAAGAATGTGTGTCATGGGCTGGGATTGTGGCTCAGTGGTAGAGTGCTCACCTAGCATGCCTGGGACCTGGGTTCGATTCTCAGCACCACATAAAAAAAAAATAAAGGCATTGTGTTGTGTCCATCTACAAAAAAGATTCATTCTCTCTCTCTCTCTCTCTCTCAAAAAAAATAAGAATGTGTGTCATGCTACTTTTGAATAGAACATTTTGTACATGTCTGTTAGATGCCGCTGAACTAAACTGTAGTCCAAATTCAACGTTCCCCTGTTAATGTTTTGTATGCATGATCTACCCATTGTTGAAAGTGGGATATTAAAGTCCTCTATGATTATTGTATGGTTATCTACTTCTCCCTTCAGACCTACTAATAATTGCTTTGTGTTTTAGGTGCTCCAATATTAGATGCATATAAATTCAAAATTATTCTTGGTAAATTGACCCCATGACACTTTTCTTAATGTCTCATTCTGTATTATATACAGCCTCTAAAACCAAAGCCTGTAGCTACAAAGAAATCTTCTTTTTATCTCTTAAATCTTGTGTTTTCATTATGGATCATGAATTAAAACTGTTCCTAAGAGCTAGACTTTTCAGCAAGATGAACAGGATCTTAGAATTTAAATATGCCCCTTCCTAAACTTTGTATTCAGAATTAAAAAAACAGGGCCTCCAACTGCTGATCTTATGAGGCCCCCTAGTGCTCACAATGTAGATGGAATCAATATTATTTCAGGAACACCTTTAACCATTAAATTAGCTACAGAATCAATTTGAAGCCCATTTTTTAAAAATCTCTTTGTGGGAAATCAATAATGCAGATGAATGTATAAGACCTAATTCAACTTGAATTATTTTGAGTCAACTGTCAGAAGAAAAGGCCTAGAAAATCCTAAGCAATAGTTAATAAGACTATTTTTCAAAATTATGGTAACATTCCATTTTACTTTTTATTCCTTGATCCAGTTAAAACTATTAATGCAACACTGTATAACACCCAAAATAGCAAAAGCTTTAGATAATAATACATTAAACTTAAGCCTTCTATAAGGAGTTTATCACTTGGATAACTTTTAAAAATAAAAATTAAGCCAGGTGAGGTGGCACATGCCTGTAATCCCAGCAGTTTGGGAGGCTGAGGCAGGAGGATTCAGAGTTCAAAGCCAGCCTCAGCAAAAGTGAGGCACTAAGCAACTCAGTGACACCTTGTATCTAAATAAAATACAAACTAGGGCTGGGGATGTGGCTCAGTGGTCAAGTGCCCCCGAGTTCTATGCCCAGTACCCAAAAATAAAAATAAAAATAAATTAAGAAGTCAATGTGCGTTATTTTGCTCGGCAACTGGTCTATCTTCTGGAACTTCACAGCACCTCCTCTGTGTCGCCATGTTTCCTGTATCAACATTCCTCAATGGCACTCTCTTTTTACCTTCTCATCACTGCGCCTTCTACTGATAAGAAACCCTGGTGTTTAGCCAGCAGCTGGAAATGTGTCCCAGTGACACCCCCAAGCCTGCAGCAGTGCACCTTCCTGGGAACCACTAAGACCCAGAATTTCCACCCTCGACGCTGGGAAGACACGCTCTGCACCTCTCTACTACTCTTCCTCTCTCATTGTCCCCAACTCAGGAGGACAGACAGGCAAGGGACACCAGGGGCGTCACTCATGTGTAGCTGTCCTCCTGGGAGTAGCCGCAGGCTTCCCAGAGAACAGGCTCTCCAGCCAGGAGCTGACGCCTTAAGCCCGACTGCATGGACTCTTTCTAAACTGTACAATCATCTAGAGGACGAGAGAGGCATGAGCAGTCGACCACCAACAATATAAACTACAAAAGATGATCTCTTTGATAACATAAATCTCACTTTCTGCTTCTGAGTGGAAGAAAAGGGAACTGAGCCTTACCCAGAATACACTTGCACATACATTGTCCCCTGTGTGCTCTACAACAATAAAAAGCCAGAATAGCCCCCACAAGATCCCAGGTTTAGGTCACTCGTCATTTATGTCTTAAACTTTACCTCAAGTGGATAAATCTTTATCTTCTAAATTATAAAAAATGTCCGTGAACGTATAAATCAAGGCCTAATGAATATTGTTTTTATGCCACTTATTAAATAACTTAAGGCAATTTTATACACTCAGGGAAGCTTCACTGAGAGTATAAAATTGCCTAAAGTTATTTAGTATCTTTGATAACATAACTTGTAGAAAATTATCGCATTTGGTAGGACAAAGCCCTTTTTTAAATTCAAGAACATATATCTAAGACTCTTCTTAAAACTAAGTATACTTTAGATTTATTTTAAAGCACATCATAAATCCATATAGGACCATGTAAATATGTGAGAGTGTGTATTTGCTTTTTGCTTGGCTAGTAAACTATTTTTTTCTTGTATTACTGTGGGTTTTTGTTCTCTTTTTCTGTTTTTAATTTGGCATTTAAAAAATGAAAGCATGATTAATATTTAGTATCTAACCAGTGCTCACAAATCATATTCAATACCATTGACAACAGTCCCAGAATACAAATCTGCATTAAAATAATTCCCTAGACTAAATTCTCCATCACTATTCAACAGGAACTACACATACAGGAGGACTCCAGCTTCATGCAGCATTTGGGCTAATTTTCATGTTGTTTTTTTTTTCCTTTGAGTTAACCACCGTGAGTCTTTAACTTAAGGTGTGAGTTTCTGATGAAAAAAAAACATCCTGTTGGTAAATTCTGAGTCCTACCATGACCTTATATTCTTTGATGGTAGCTCGGTACACAGAACTCTGAAGGTTGCAGAAACCATGGACTAGGACAGACCTGCTGAGCCTTTCTCCCTGGAGCTGTGAAAACATGGGTAGCATATATAACTTCTATGACCCTCGATTTCTCATTCAATTTAGAGATAACCCTTATCTTTCTTATCTATAAGAAAAGAAAAAAATGTGAGAGCCACAGCACATAGTAGGTGTACAAGAAATTACAACTGTTATTCTGATTAGTTCTAATACAGATGAAGGTCACCATGGAGTCACAATATTGCTACAACAATATTTATTTTAAAAGATACTCAATAACATAATATATTTAGTGTCAAATCAACTTACCAAGGCAGGAGTACAAACCCTGGCTTATCCAAGCTAATATGGCCAGAGTTATAAGGTCCCCAAAACTGGCAGCAATGGGTGTAGCGACATTATCAGGATTTATACCAGTCTTCTTTGAACCAACGATAACTCCAACCATTATTATTCCTAGAGGAAAGAATGTTCATCACTTTCGATGTTATGATTTAAAGAAAATCAATCCCTCAAATACTGAAACATACAAGACAGACAAACAATATCTCAGTTCCAGAGAGACTGCTTGGATAAGCTGATTAAGCAATTAAAACATTTTATCCCAATATCATGGCAAAATGCCTTTCAACAAAATCCAAGCAGAGCTCACAGATCTGAGAAGTTCAATGTTGTACTTGAAGACCCAAAAGTGACCATGAAATTATGTTAAAGCTAAAATTTTGAATTTAGTAATGTGTGTGTCTTAGGATTTGATACACACAAAAGACCTAAGATTTTAAATTTAACCCTCAAATAATGTATGAAAATGCCAGAGAAAGGTGAGTCATATGCAAGGCAACTGGGAAGAAGACCAACAGATTTGTTCCCATATGGTAGCTAGAAATGCTTGATTCGTTATATTCTTTAGTGTTGAAGTATTAAGAAGCAGGAAGTAATTAAACTTGAACACCAGAGTCCAGAACACAAGAAAGTCTTTGGAAAAGATATTCTTTAAACCCAAAGTTTGTTTATAATTCTCCAACAGGATAACAGAGGATGAAAATGTGACTGTGCACTTGCACTTTTGAATTCTTATTTTCTTGAATCAGATACATAAGAGGAAAATGATAACATTTATGTCTATACCCAGTTGTACAGATTTTCTCATTGAAATACATTCGTTAAGAGGATGAGGTACAAAGAAAATTTTAAATGTCTATGTGCTAACCACAGCACATAGATTTTCAACTCGAAATCTAAATATGGCTTTGGGGAGAAAAAAACAGAAGCTGGGTATAGAGTCACACACCCATAATCCCATAGACTGGGAGGCTAAGGCAAGAGGATCACAAGTTCAAGGCCAGCCTTGGCAATTTAGTGAGGCCCTGTCTCAAAATAAATAATAAAAAGGGCCAGGCTGTTGCTTAATGATAAGGATTGAACTCAGGGGTGCACAAACACCAAAAAGAAATAAAAAATAAACAATTTCACTGCACTTTTAGAATAAAAAGACGGCAAATATTTTTATTCCAGAATACTCATTACAGATAAAACTGAGGTCCTCAAAAACAGGTTTCAATACGTGCCTGAAGTCACATACCTTATGATTCTAGGCCAATGGTTTTTAGTGTACCATATATAAAGTCAGTACTCTAAAGAGCAGAATTTTTGTCTTAAATCAAACAATGCATTGTAAATTATATTCTGGAAACTTTTTCAATCACTGGACCTTACCCTTTTTACAATACCACTGTAAAGGGGGAAGAAAGCAATAGCAGAAATGCTTTTAGAATATGTTATATGATAATCCTACAAAATATAATGAGGTGTGGTGAGACAGACCTGTACCCCAACTACTGAGGAGGCTGAGGCAGGAGGATTGGCAAATTTGAGGCCAGCCTGGGCAGCTTAGCTGGACTTTGTTTCAAAATAAACATTTTTTAAAAGGATTGGGGATGTAGCTCGGCCAAAGAGCACTTGCCTAGCATATGTGAGGCCCTGGGTTCAATCCCCAGTGCTGCAAAACAATAATAATCCAACAAGATATGATTACATAGAAATCTTTTTTCCACAATCAACACATGGGAAGCTCTCCTATGACAGTGCTACTTTTATCTTTTCAGCTGAAATTAAAGCATTTTTTGTGCATCATGGCTCAGTGCAAAGAGCTGAAAGCCAGGAAAGTTGGGTTTTCATTCTGATTCTGCCACTAACAAGTGGATATAATTGGACAAGTTGCCCCACCTGCCTGAGTCAATTTTCTCACGTACAAAATGTGGTTAATGGTATCTGCATATATTAAGATGGTCAAAAAGGTCAAGTAAAACTAGAAGATACAGTGTTCAAGGTAAGAAGCTTTAACCAAATGTACAGTTGTTTTAAATTTGAATTTTTGATGGTTTTGAAAATCCTAGGCATTTCAAACACTTGCTGGACTGAAAAATTTCAAACCTCTCTAAATGACACAAAATCAGAAAGAAAACAAAAGTTAAGGAGCCTAAAGAGAGTGCTAACACCGCAACCTTTTTTTCTTTTGCCAGAAATTTAATTTCCCAATAGCTTCGTCTCAATCATTTCTAATAATTCCATATAGAAATAAGAAAATTATATCCCTGAATACTATTCTATAAGAAGCTAGTTATCAAGCGGAAAGTTCACATTAATAAAAAAAAATCCAACTGAGAAGTTCTAATGCAGTTAGTTTTTTTAACTAGTTCTTTAACCATCTATAGCCAATAATATGCTATCTTCAGAATAAGGTTATTTTTGTACTACCACAGACAGGAATTTTTTTTTTAATATGAAACTTAAAATTTTTTTTTTAACAGAGGGACTGCTTTTGAAACTCAGAATTCCTGGAACACTTGTTACTCAAGAGACAAGCCAGTAAATCCCCTGCATGACTTCCAGGAAGTTTCTCAACTTCATTTACAAAACAAATGAATGCTCAGGCTATTTTCCTGATCTTATTTGGGAATTATACCAGGGCATCAAAGGCCAGGACACAGCCTCGAACAGCCTGCTCTGCAGTAAGGTTCATAAATAATGAAACAGAAATATATCTGAAATAAGATATGACTGAAGCTTGTGATAACTTTTTCTGTTGTTTTCATCATAAATATCATTTGAAGAGAGAGAGTCATTATCTTGAGAAATAAATCATTTAAGAGCAAAAGATTACAGACATTTGCAAATCCGCTCACCCTGCAGAAGAGATGCGATGAAGGCGGTGGCCACGCTGCTGGAGCACAGGAGGATGGAATGATCCAGGTAATACTTTCCCTCTGGAATCCAGCCCAAGATGATCGCTGCCACCGCTGCTAAAAAACCCACGACTGTTGCCTGAACCTAAAAAATTTGTTACAAAATCCAACTGAATTAGTAATTTAAAAAACTCTCAGAATCTTTCCTATTTAAACATTACATACAAGAAGCCTGAAGACATACTGCCCCTGGTAACTGAGTCGTACTGCCTTTTAAAGAAGCTACTATATTTGAGTTTCATATTCCCAGAGAGTGGGCTCTCAAACTGCCCTGATCTGGTGGCAGCAGAAATGGAATGGGGTGCAGGAATCTGTTTTTAATAGTACCCCAAAGGACTGATCCACAGATCATCTAAGAAAACACTAGTTTTAGGTTAAAGAGGGCCCCACCCAAGGTGGGAAGCAGGCTCACCAGGCAGTGGTGGGGAGATTAAAATCAAATGATAGGAGCTTGAATCCTTCTCTACCACTTAACCTCAGGGCAAGTTATCTAAGTCCATTAACTCAACTGGTATTTATTCAGATTCTACCAAGCACAAAGCACTGTGCTTGATACTGAGATAGGACCATGGTCAAAATGGACTCCCTGTCTCAGTGGGAAACAGATGTTAAAAAATATCCTCTCAAATAATCACACTTATGATTAGTACCATATAAGCTTGAGTTCCAGCTGCACATGATGGTGCATGCCTGTAATCCCAGCTGCTCAGGAGCCTGAAGGAGGATTGCAGGTTCAAAGCCAGCCTCAGTAACTTAGGGAGGCCCTAAGCACCTCAGTGAGGCCCAGTCTTCTAAATTAAATTAAAAAAAAAAGGGCCGAGGATGTGGCTCAGTGGTTAAGCACCCCTGGGTTCAATCCCTGATCCCCGCCCCAAAAAATGTTTGAGTTCCCAACTCTGTAAATGACAATGATAATATAAAACTTTGAGATTCAAGTTACATAAATAGTTTCCGTAGTGCAGACACAAAGCAACACTCAAAATAACTTCCACTAAGAAAAGGCATGCAGACGGCCGACTCAGGCCACCAGAATGACAAAGCTACAGCAAAGCCCACGGGAATCACTTTTCCCAGTGGTTCTTAACTGTGTGTGTGTCATGGCCCCTCTGACAACCTGGTAAAAATTCTGTAGAACAGAGACCTTTCCCCTAAGAAAACACAGAACACTCAACATCTGGAGTGGAATATCTGGGTGTTCTCTAAAGCCAATCTATGAAATGGGGTCAAGGGCTCCAAGTGATCGATCCCTGCTGCAGGATGACCCCATTGTACAGAAAATCTACGAAAGGCCAGGACTAAAGAGCCTAGATATCCTGCCGTCCAGCCCCACAAGCTTTGATTACAGTTCCTGTTGACATCACCCACACCTCAGAGCTGACCTCCAGGTATGAGAGCCACTGTGGCTGCACAGTCATTAGACATGTCAGCATGTTCATGCTGGTTAGTAAATAACACACACACTTCGCGCAGTAGAACTAAGTACTAATGTAAATTCCAGCACTGTGACTCCAAGTCCTTCCTGGCATGACCTGGTACGCATGGCAAGGGAGCCTGGTGCAGACATCATGGTATGTGAGTCTAGGCACGTACATGCATCCGTAGATCTATTTCTGAGGAACTGAAGGCACATAGCTGAGCTGAGAAGTCCTATTCTGTACATCTGCAAAAGAACGACTAATTGGAAGATGATTAATGTGCCCAAGAAAAAGCAAAGCCTGGGTTCAAGTGGTAGCTGGGTTTAGAAGGGTCTCAGGGCATGGAGGCTAAACAGGGGCCACAGGCCTGAATAGACCTTGGTGCAGGCTACATTCCTCCTGGCGAGGCGGTGGTTCCTCAGATGGTACCGGGAGCTTTGCAACTTATGCACAGTCCACGCAGCTGTTCTGTACAGTGGTGAAGAAACCTGTAGCAGGTAATCTGCTGGGACCCAATTTAATAGCAGAGAAGCACACTCCCTCCTAAGGGCGCCTGGGCCTCCTGTCTCTACTCTTCCCTCCTCTGTCCTCCAAAGCCCACCTCCAGGAAGGGGAGCACAGGCCAGCCACCCTGCACCCCTCTCCACGCTCAGCTTCTCCTTCACAGGCTTTTGCAGGTGAAGCCTTTTCCCCAACCCCACCCACACCTCTTTTTGGTGGGAGATATTAGGGAGTTGAACCCAAGGATGCTTTACCACCATAACCACATTCCCAGCCTTTTTTTTTTTTTTTTGAGATAGAGTCTTGTTAAGTTGCTGAGTGAGGCTAGCCTTGAACTTGGGATCCTCCTGCCTCAGCCTCCAGCTTTGCTGGAACTACAGGTGTGACCACACTCAGCAGCCTGTCGTCTTAGCCTTTGTCCACTGGAACTGAGTCCCAAGCAACTAGTGCCTCCCCAGCTGGCCCCGATGCTGTCCTGGTGGGCATGCTGGTGTTCCTGTTCTTCATACATGGATGACGGAGTGAGGCAGACACGGGCTTTGGGTTCTGGCAACTAGGATCAGCAAATCCCCAGCCATTGCCAGCACCCATCCTGACCAGAGGTTGCAGGGATCGAGGATGACAAGGGAAAGGTGTGCATTACGAACAGAATGAAAATTAAAGCTGAGATGGCACCCGCTGCTGTGGGCAGCCCTGCAGCCCCAGCTACTGCAGCCCCCACAGGATCACGACTTTGAGACCATTTTGGGAAATTTAATAAGATCTTATCTCAAAATGGAAAAACGGCTGGGGATTTAGCTAAGTGATAGGGCACTTGCCTAGCGTGTGCGAGGCCCTGGATTTCATCCCCAGTACTGATATAAACAAAACAAATAAATAATGCTGAGATGGCCATTATACTAAAATTATTTGATATATAATACAACTCATTATTTCATATGAGTTTTGGGTATTTAAAGAAGAAAATCAAATCTATTTTCAAATACATTAATATTTTGGATATTTGAATATGGTATTAAATATTTTTATTATCACCCCTGCACAGATAACAAGTTCAAGTTTAAAAGGATTTTAGCCTTCTCTAATATAATACTGTGATTTGAAAGACAAAAAGGAAGCCCAGAAGGGCTAAGTAACAAAGGTTATACAGCTGGTTAATGTTAGAGCTGAGGTTAAGATCCCAGATTTTATCTCCAACCCTGCAATTACACAGGTATTTTTTTAAAATAACCACAATCCAAAAACTCCTTTGTCTTTAAAATACACTACATAAAACCATATTCCTGTAACCAAATTCTCCACCACCTCATTAAAGTTCCTGTGCATCCCCTCAGCTAACCCTAGGTAGAGAATTACCATAGGTAGCTGCAGTCTTCTGCCTCAGAGATGGGAGGGATGGGGGAGAGGCAGTAGAGGTACTCACCTGAGATCTGAAAGCCATAGATTTCATAGAATCCAGTTTAGTGTTTATATCATTGGCAATTGAACGCATTCATTTATATCAACACTAGTAACATCAAATTGAGGAAAAGTCAAGACAAATGGCTGACGATAATATACAGAACTCAGTTTCATTAAACAAACACTTTGAAAAATTAAAGTAGGCTGAGCATGGTGGCGCATACCAGTAGTCCTGCCTACTGGAGCGGCTGATGCAGGAAGATCACTTGAGCCTAGGAGTTTGATACCAGCCTGAGCAACACAGTGAGTCTGTCTCAAGGGTAAAAACAATTAAAGTAGAAAAATAGCACCTAAAAAATGAAATGTTCCATATTTATTTGTAAGATATCAACACAAATTCTGGCTTTATCACATATTTATGAAAGAAAATATTTATATATCTATCTTTTATATTTGTAAGCATCTGATTAGTTTCTAGAGAAAAAAATGACTCCTGGAGGTCAGAGGTGTCCACTAATTCCATTATTTTTTCAAGGTACTAAATGATTTCAAGGTACTAAGTGATTTAGTACCTTGAAAAAAGTCAAAAATGATAGACTTCCCAGCACTACAGTTGACTCCATTCCAGAGGTGACCCCAAGACCAGTAAACACAAGATCTGTAAACAACTGTGTGCCACTTACCTGCTTTAAAGCCAAGTTGCCAATTATTAGGTTCCACTTTTCAATGGGTGAATCCATCTTCCCAATATTTACCTGTTAAGGTGGATATTTTCATGGATCACTGAAAAATCTATATGTTGTTTACTTTGCTTAAATAGCATACAAAGTCTTAAAAGTACAAAATAATTCTGTAGTAAGTCTGGTAAGGGCACCTGTACTTGAATATAATTCTGAATTCACTCCATCTACCATTCAGATTGGCTGAGATGCTCAGGGGGACTTTTTTCTTTAACCATCTTATAAGAATTAGTGGCCCAGTTAGTATTTTATATATATATATATATATATATATATATATATATATATATATATATATATAACATTACCATGTATCACCCTAAAATGCTGAATTCTGTGTACTGAGGGTCAATAAATAATTACATAATTTTGAGCTGCTAGCATTTAATTTCATATCATAAAACTAATATAATCTGAAGAATTGTTAATCAAAAAACAAGATTTAAACAAATCGTTCATATGTATATAACCTACATTTGATTCATGACAAAAATTGTTAGCAATAAAAATTCATTTGGTTCACAAATTTTGATCATGCACCTCACTAATTAAAAAGTATACATCTTTCTTCTAAATAGAATACTTTCCAAAATAAGATTATTCACATATTCAGTGTCTCTGTGAGCTAGGTCATATTTCTCAACTACTTAATATTCAAAAAATGTACAACTAAGACTGCCAAGTTTTCCAGTCATTTGGAAAGCAATGAGCAATCATTAGTAAAAATCCTATATTAAGCTGGATTTTCAGTTATTCATCACCTGGTCATAGAAGGTTTTCAAATGTTAAAAAAAGGTTACTGGGTGAATGGGTATAGAGGGAGGTACACAGGGTTATTATTTATGGATCGTTTCAAACAAATACAAACTAGAGCTTATAGCTCATGGCTTCAGACCAGCGGGTTCAGGGCCACATCAACATTCCTCTACCAATTTGGAAAACAGACTCTATTCTGTAATTTCACTCCAGATTTTAGTTTCAAAGTTTCCAGCAAATCAAACATTGAGATTTCTCAGTGTTTCAGGATAATTACTCCTGCAAGTCTTTCCTGATATATTTCTTGACTAAAGCTGGGAATCTAAAGTATTGATAAAATTCATGTTTGCAGTTCTAACAACCTGGGGCTCTGCTCAAGTGAGTAATAGAAACATGGGCAACACTTGAAGAGTGCATTCACCTCAGGTTCAGAGTTCAAGAGCAAAGCATGAGAGAAATTAATGCTATTTTGAAGAATTCTTAAGAGAGGTGACTGTGGCTATGGGAAGCAATCTCAGATGAGTCTACGAATGAGAAAACATCAACCCTCCAGAGTGGCTTAGTGAGCCAGGGAGACAGGCAGAGTTCAGGGACCAGGAAAAGATCAAGGGAGGTGGGGGTGAAAGGGTGAGGGAGAGAGAGCCAGGTTCACTTGGTGCCATGGCCACTACATACCTCAAATCCCTGTTCCTATGACTTCCGGTCACAGTCTACATGATGGGAACATACCTAAAATTTGGAAGGCATAAGCTAAGCAGAGGCCACTATCTTTGGCAGGCAGGCAGCCCTGGGAGGCACCCGGGCCTTTGCCATAAGACACGCTTGGCTTTTTTCCTCTGTACCAGTAGTAGAGTGCCCTGGGTTCAATCCGGCGGTTCCACTGATTTTCCCTCCACGCATCTTCACTTCCCCAACTTCCCCACATTTGGTAGGCCCTATTATAACTATAGCACACATCTACCATGGCTGCTTTCTGGACCAAACCCAGGCTGATAGTTTATTAATTTAAATAGTGTAAGATTGTACTCTATATACAAATGATGAGGGTTCACACTTTCTAAGTCCCTTCTAGATCTAGATGTCTCTGGATCTGCAATCTTTTTATTGTAACATAAAATAATCAGTAACAATTAAAATGATATCAAATTAAAAGAAGAATATATTCACAAATAAAAACATTTTTATAAATCAATATTTTAGAGAAAACCAAAAAGAAATGTCAGCCCAAATTCACTTTTTAGGGAAGACAGTAAGCTACAGGCATGCATTAGGAGTGGTGGGGGAATGGCCAGACACAGGAAGATGACCTGTTGCCTCCATCTTGGAAAAACTACACCAAGAACAGGGCTGACCCACCCTCCTGTCCAGTGGTCATGGATAATATAACCACCCAAGCTTCTTCAGAAGTGGAGGGAGAAGTAGGGGTGTGCTGTCTAAAGGCCTTTGGCCAACCTACCTTTGTTAGATTAGCTGACCTGCTGGTGCTCTCAGCAAGAGAAACCAAGAACTGGGAAAGTGATAAAGTGTAGGCAGGCGTGATTTGGTAAAGATTTCTGACTAATCCATATTTATTCAAATTACATATATCTTGAAGCATTAGAAAAATAGGCCAATATGTTTGCAGAGACACCAACTCGTTCACTCATTAAGATGCATCTGTTTGGGACTGGGGCTGGGGCTGGGCCTCATTGGTAGAGCGCTTGCCTCACACTCACAAAGCCCTGGGTTGGATCCCCAGCATCACATACACACAAAAAAGATGCATCTGTTGAATTCTTAATGTACTTTCCCATTTAGTTCTTTGGACACGTTCAAAACTGCTGTTTTAAAAGACTGTTAAATTCACCACCTGGGCCCACTGGAGTCCCTTTCCATGGATGGATATGAACCACACTTTTTTTTTTTTTTTTTTTTTAAATATTTATTTATTTATTTCTCGGTGGACACAACATCTTTGTTTGTATGTGGTGCTGAGGATCGAACCCGGGCCGCACGCATGCCAGGCGAGCGCGCCACCACTTGAGCCACATCCCCAGCCCCTGAACCACACTTTTCTTGCAAATGGGTCACACTTCTTTCTACATCTGATGACATTTTTTGTTAAAAACGAGCCAGTGTTGACAACATAGGAGAGTGACTCTGATACCTGTAATGTTCTAAGGATTGAGTTTTCCTTCTAATTAGCAGTTAATTTGCTGAGAGTCAAACTACAGAGTCTTCTCTCTCCCAGGATGGAGCAGTTCATCTTCTACTTGGTTCTTTTGACTATGATACTGCTTTTCAGTCTAGCCCTTTGGGGATCACTTCCATACCTATGTAGTTTAATGGTCAGGCAACGAGTTGGACAAAATTTGTGGTCTAGTTTGGAGTTTACCCTCTCTGAGGTTTCTCCTGCTTCTGGTATTTCCCCATGTATTTCCACTGGCTTTCTTAGCTTCAAGTTCTATCATCTGATACTTCGATCCAGTAAAATTTCAATTCTCTGCCACAACAGCTATGCATAAGGTCACAGAAGGTGCTCAATCAAAACAGCCATCAAGCAGCCGGGCTCAGCGGCATACTCTGTAATTCCAGGAACTGGGGAGGCTGAGGCCAGAGGAGGATGGCAAGTTTAAGGCCAGCCTGGACAATTTAGTGAGACCTTGTTTCAAAAATGAAAAATAAAAAGGGCTGGGGCTGTACCAGTGGTAGAGTGCCCTAGATTCAATCCCTAGTACCCCCCCCCCACACACACACACACAAAAGCAAAGAGGAGGGAGGAGGAGGAGACAAACAAGTAGGGAGCAGACAAATCTCAGTGAGTGCGCTGGTCTTTCAGACGCAGGCCCCTCTCACATTTCTGCCCACTTGTTTTCTTTTTTCTTTTTCTGCCAGGCTCACACTCAGGTCAGGCCTGTATACACATACTTTTGCAGTTAGCCAAAGATTTGAGCAGATCTTATATTCCGACTTTGGATCTTACCTTTCTGCACTTCTAGAATTCCCTCCCTAAGTTTCCAGCTCCCCTTGCCAACTCTGAACTCTATCTCTGCCACCTGGAGCAGGGGAGACTGCGTTTTCTGCCACACGAGATCCAGGGACCGGGGAATGCCCTCAAGCAAAGACATCTTGCAAACACTGCCATTCTTAGTCATCGACGGCATGCTCTTTTAAGGGAACTCAAAATTCTACTTTTTCACTTTTTATTGCCATGGAATAGTTTGTCTAGATTTTGTAACTGTATTGAGTGGCAGGGAGAGTTCACCCAGCCAATTCATTCTGCCATTAACTGGAATCAGAAACCCTGTTATATATTTTTACACTCAGTCTTAGCCACAAGTCTAAGAAGCAATGGACTATATATTTATATATTTTAGATATCTTATATAAAACATAATACACTCAAACACACACAAACTAATATCTTTCTGAGCATACAGGGCAACGCACATGTCCATTACCCCGATGGTGGTGATAGTTTCCTGAGTACATACTAAATATCAAAGGACCCAGACTATAGGCTTTAAAAATGTGCAGTTTATAGTATGTCAATTATACCTCAATAAAGCTGCAAAAAAGGAGGGAGCTAAAAATCCACCTGATTAAAACAGTTTCAGATTAAACATAAATAGTTCTACTCTGCAAAACTGACTGAGGGCTGATATTTTTAACTTAAGAAAGATGTATTAAAATGTAGAATAGGAACATGCAATCCCATTTGTACTCACAATCAGATTTCACAAAAATTTAGAATTTTTTCTAAACACATAAAATTTAGAATTATGCCGAATTTGGGAATAATACAGAAATTTAAGTCAGTTACTAATAATCATTATCTGGACTTTAATTTTTTATTATCTTAGAAGCTTTGCAATTGAAATTGGAAGTCCAACATACTACAGGAAGAGGCTTTGTCAACAACTTCTGCTAGGAAGTCAGCACCACAAAGGCAGATACATTTTCTGTCTTATGACTGAGCACACAGATCCATGCTTGGCATACAGTAAAGACACAAAACATTTTTTAATTAGTAAATTAGAAAGGTAGAGCATTGCCGGGTGTGGTGGTTCACACCGTAATCCCAGCAACTTGGGAATCTGAGGCAGGAGGATCACTAATTTGAAACCAGCCTGGCAACTTAGCAAGACCTTGTCTCAAAATACAAAATAAAAAGGACTGGGGATGTGGCTCAGTGGTAGAACAACCCTGGGTTCAATCAATCCCCAGTACCAAAAAATGAATAAACAAAAATAAAACAATAAAGAATATTACAAAAATAACTTCAGAGAATCGAGAGTTCTCTGAGAAGAGATTTGAGGCAACAGAAATCAGTTTTGCCTGGAGTAGAAAAGGGCTAATAAGATTCTGCCAGGCAATTTGCTCCTGGGAAACAGATTCACATTCTTCTTTTTTTCTTTCCTTTTAATTTATCTTTAGGATACATTTTGACTCGTATCTAGCATTCAGAAAGAGAAAATTTTAGACTTAAACTAAAGAACTTAAACTCTAATTGAAACTATTAAAACTCCAGAAATAATTGTGCTTGGTTTATTTTCCAATTGTACACTACTGCCACACATCTATATGAACATCTATATAAAAAAATTGAAAAAAATCTCTCTATATAATTTTATATACACTGTTGAAAAATTAAAATCCAGGAAAACTAGTCAAGTTAATCATCGTATCTTTACAAATAAATTTGGACTTATGTAAGAGGGCAAGATAAAGCTGATTTGTATTCACCACTATTTAATTTCCTTGGTGAAATAGGAAATCTATTTTATTGAAATATCTTTTCATCTAGTTTGACGGAATAACAAGCTCTAAGGACAAGTGACCTTCAATAGACTGAATGAGTAGGCTGTCTCTGGGGTCTGAGGTTTTAAGCTCTCTGTCTTTCTACTTATTGAAGATCCACCTTATAATCCTATAAGCTCATTTGTCCTGGTTCTCCTGGAGATAATCATAAAAATGATAAAACAAAAAGATTAAAGTAATCACTGACTGGCCTTCTATAGCTATGATTTTCATTCCTAATCTTAGAAGTGAAAATAAATATTTCACAGAAAAACATAATAGTTGAAAAGAAGTATTTTTTAACATATAAAATTTTAAAAGCCAGGGCTGAGGCTGTGGCTCAGTGGTAGAGTGCTTGCCTAGCATGTGTGAGGCCCTGGGTTCGATCTTCAGCACCACATAAAAATAAATAAATAAAATAAAGGCATTGTATCCAACTACAGCTAAATAAATAAATAAAATTTAAAAAAATTAAAAGCCAGCTTTCAAATAGTACTTGTTGAGGTTTTTCAAAAATTACATTAATTTGTTGTTCTGCCTGGAAACAGGAAGCACCGGCCACAGCAGTCCCCAAATGGAGACCACCAACCCCAAGTTCAGGTGGCAGTGGGTAGGTGTAAGAGGGAAGAGGAATTCCCAGGTGGAATGACGTCCAGGCAAGAGCTGGAGAGAGTGAGAAGGGGAGAGGAGAGGACCGCCCACTAACCCACAAGACACTTCAAAGAGAGAACCTGCTAGAATAAGGGAAAGTGAGGGTTCTGAATGCAGTGAGTGGTGTCCAGCTGACAACTGACAGTTCAGCTCTGGGGTCTGGAAGGGTATAGAGAAGGGGACTGAGTGACCAGTGGGTGACAGCATGAAGCTACTGAGGGCAGACATGTAAACGTGTCAAGAAAGCCTCAAATTAAGAAAATGAACAAAGAAAAAGAAACCAAACAGGTAAAAACAGCAGCAGCCAGTGCAAGAGGAGGGGGAGTGAGAGGAGCAGCCGTGCTGAGGCCCAGGAGTGGTCGTGAAGAGGCCAGAAGGAAGTTGCTGACCTGGAGGTGTCAGCAGCCTGGGAGGGATCAGAAGCTGCCCGACAGTGACGCTCTGGCCTTCCATCAGAATGGTAGCATTCCGCCTATGAGATCAACTTCTCCAAGCAACTTCAATGCCATAAACTAGAAGAGCACACCATGTCGCCACAGCTTCACACCCAAGTGACTGCTTCCCATGGCTCCTCTGTCTGGCTTTGCCAGAGAGAATAACCGACAGCTCCTCTACTTCTGCAAATGCATCAGCTGTCTGTCGGCTCTATCTGAACAGGGGCTCTGACTCCAACAACCTCTCACAACACCCGCTACTACCACCCCATCCCAGCAACATCATCTACAACTATATCATGGCAACGAGCTCCCAGCCGGGCTCCCTGCTTCAGTCTCTGGTGCCCCATACCGCAACACGACAGTCAAAATAATCTGTTAAAGAACACTGCTCAGATCACACCACGGCTCTGCTCAGAATCTTCCAATGGTTTCCCTATTAGGAAGCAGCCAAAGTCCTTCCAGGAGACCACAAGGTCCCTTATTGGCTGGTCCCTGGCTCATTCTCTAACCTCCTCTCCTAGGACCCCCCTGTTCACTTGGTCCCAGCACCATGGGCCTCCAAGGCGCCTTATCCAACACCGTGGTTCTCCAGCGTGAGTGTACCTCGGAATCGTCTGGAGAGCTTGCTAAAGAACAGATGGGGGCTGGGGTTGTGGCTCAGCGGTAGAGCGATGGCCTAGCAAGTGCGAGGCCCTGGGTTCGATCCTCAGCACCACATAAAAATAAATAAAAAGAAAGGTATTGTGTCCGACTACAACTAAATAATAAATATTTAAAAAAAAAAAAAGAAAGAAAGAACAGATGGCCGGGCCACCCCCACCCCCCATTTCAACTCAGTGCTTTGGAAGAGGGCAAGAAGTGGCACTTCTAACACATCTGACGCTGATGGTCAGAAGACTGCTCTAGAACCTTCCGTCCAACAGCAACCACAGGCCCAGCTCTGAGCTGAGCATTGCCTGGGACCTTCCTAGCTCAGCCTTGGAGGTTCACCTTCTTATTTCTCTCTGTTTATGTCTGATATATCTCTTCAGTGACACAATTCTGAAACTACAGAAGATAACTCCAGCCTTATCTCCTCAAAGAAAGGCTCAGTTAAGTCTGCCCTGCAGTGGGGACCTTAGCAATAAGCTCCCTGTGCTGAGCGACCAGCTTTGGAATTCCCCTCTCTTAATGTGAATAGAAAAATGCACATAAACAGACATACCTAGCACGAAGTAGAACACGGCAGATGAAGTTTAAAAGAAGATTAAGATTAAATTCACTTCCAGGAGATTTAATGGCAATGTGATCAAATGAACCAGCAAAACTTCATTTGCAGTCAATTCTTTCTGAACCAGATTCCCTACAGCATGGCCTATTTTAAAATGGATCGGCGTTTTAATCTATTACTTGAATCTAAACAAAGCTGGACAGTGCTCAAGAGCAACACTTTCAGAGGTCTCTTCTTTAAGGTAAGCGAACCAGAACTTCACTCTTCCTGGCAAAGTTACAAGTGGCTCAGAAGCCTGCCTCACTCTATCTGTCAGAGCAAAGTTCATTTTCCAACAAGTGAAACTGGAGCCACCTTTCAACTTCCATTCCCGTAACTTTCCTCTTCCTTGACTGTTGCCACTTCGGTTTTCAAGACCTTTTTTCTCTCCTGCCATAAGGGCTCTTGGATTGAGTTCCACCTAAGTGACCCACGAGTTCTCACAAGAAAATGAAGCAGGAAAAGCAGCAGGTAGGAGACCTGTGCGCAATTTCACTAACTCTCAGAACCTCAGTAAAGCTACGTGGGCTTTTTCTCTCTCTTCTTAAAGATAAAAGCTTCAGATATTCTCAACACACAGTCCAGCTGGATGTCAAAGGATCAAGTGTTAAAATCAATATTCACTGTCACTAAATGTCATCATATAATGAACTAATGGGATACAAGAATAAATATGAAACTCAAATTTTGACATTTTATCATAATTTCATTATTAGAATTTTTTAAAAAATTATTTCTTAGCACTGAGAGCTGCTAGATGACCCTGTGGTTATCATTCTCATATCTGCAATGCTAGGTACTTTCCAACCAAGTCACTGAAGAACCAAGATTATTTTAGGCTAGCTTCATCAGTCTAGATGGTGCTATGAACAGTGTCACCAAATTATTAGACTTTCTTTCCTATCAGAGAATAACTGCTGAGATCAAAGACTGATCTTCAAGTCCCAGTATAACTACGGCCCCAAAAGACTATAGTTGATAGTGATGATACAATCGTTGAAATAATTCCCAAACTGAAGCTTTGTGAACCATTTGAAGAGGATGCTTTTAAATATCCTCAGGTGACTTTAACTGTCCTAATTTATGTTTTTATTTTAATTATTGAAATGCATTGATGGCTTTATGTTATCATTTGAGGAAAAAAATGTCCTTTTGTTTAAGGACATTGGATCTAAAAGTGTATGGAGGTAGAGGAACATAACTGGCTTTAAAGATACCAAAAAAGGTAAGGAATCTCTAACTACATGTCCATTTTTATTGCCAATTTCAGTATCTTCCCAAAAGTAGAATGATAGAATTTTTGTAACAGATGTCATGTAAAAATATTTGCACACTTCAAGGTATATCCACTTGGGTTACTTCACAAAGTTACAGTCAAAGAACTGCTTTTTTCTGCAAACAGCCACTGGTTATTAGTTAGTAAGTCCTATTATGTTGGTATTGTTACCTGAAGAATATAATATTAAGTCTCTTTTGTTCAAGGAACTGTTTTAAATGTATATCTTCTTTTCTATCTTGTTTCAATAACTTGCAGAAGTATCTAACAAGGCAGGTTCAAATTCTCTTTTATGTCATGTAATTTTTTCAAAATTTAAATAAAGCTTTCATTCCTAGACTCTGGATCAATAATACTCTAAATTTGGGAAAGAGGGGCCCTAGCTCTGAGATTTCAGGTTTAGAGGGCTCCACCTTGGCCCTCCTTTACCTATGTCCCTCCACTAAGGAGCGGCATTCACAGGCCCCTGGCTCTGCCTACCTGAGACCTAGGCCTGTGCCTCTCCCATCTCCAGGCCATCCTCTGGATGCCCAGGACCCTGTCCAAGTGGCCTGGAGCCCCTTGTCGACTTCTCCCTCCAGCTGGTGCTGCTGAACGCAGATCATGCCACCAGTAAGTGCAGGCCCAATCCAAGGAGTGCGGGGTGGTTGCTGCTGAAGGCACAGCTGAGGGTAGAAGGGAGGCCTGAGATGGGCACAAGGCCTTTCAAAGTGCCATGCAGACAGTCAGGGGGAAGGGGCTGGCCTCAGACCAGGGCCCAGCTGTCTCCACACCACCAGCTCCAAAGCAGAAGCCAAGATGAACAAGAATTCTAAATGTGCTCTTGGACTTATAGGTCTTCTTACAGATACACTCGGGGTTGAGTTTGGTTTTGCCTTACAGGGCTGGGGGCCTACACAAACCCAGGCCTTGTACAGGCAGGTGCTAAAGATACATTTGTGAAGGGAGAGAGAAAGATTTTTTAGTAAGGTTCAAAGATAGTTGTGTAACTTTAAACTATGTAGATCTATCTTGAATCTCCATGTGAATTCTGCCCACAGTCCATACTGGAACACCTATAGCATATGACATTATCACACTGATAAACAGCACTAACTGGGATGGTCTCTTCTTCTTAGATTTTGACGTTGCTGAGTCACTTTTACGATTCAGGTTCCAGCTCACCCGTCACCTCCTGGATGGAGCCTCACGTGTAACCTGGAGCAGCCCTCAGAATCACCCTTCCACAGCACCCGTTCTCTTCATTACCTTTACTGATATCCGAAGTGATTCATGTACACTCCATCTGCCTTGTTAACTTATGACTAGATGGACTTTACCTTAGTCCAGGGGTTATTGTTGCATATTTCATGGTGCAGACTGTCCCAGATCTGGCCAGGACACTGCCTTGTATCTTTTTTGTCATTTCCCTGTTTTGGGGTTGTTGTTTTTTTTAAGTACTTCTTCATTTTCTGGCACAAGATGTTCCAGGTTCATCTTGTACTTTCTTGATGCAGCTCAAGGAGCTTCTATTGCTCTTTAGTCCTTTCAATATTCAATAATCACAGTGACTACATGCTATAGGCTAATGGGAAGTTACCAAAGTAATTCTACTCTATGAGGTTTAGCTCCACTTACATGACTAGCCAAGTGACTAGAGATCATCCCAAGTCACAAGCTAACTTAAAGATTAATTTACAATCCTAGAATTCCCCCTAAAGAAGAAAAAGTGCAAGAGGATATTCATACAGTTTTGCTTATATTAGTAGATCATTAGAAAGAGCTCACATATCCAATGCTGGATGAATCCAACTGTTGCAGAGTACTACAACATAAAAGTACAGAGTCAATGAAGACAATGACACTGACATGGAAATATGACCAGGATGTATTCTTAAGTGGAGATCACAGATTATAAAAGAGAACATACAGGATTCCAGTTTCTTTTTAAAATGCCCAATGTTATATACATTATGATATCCCTATCCACATATAAATACAGATATGAAAGTATAGGGCTGGAGTTGTGGCGCAGTGGTAGAGCGCTCGCCTAGCACGTGCAAGGCCCTGGGCTCGATCCTCAGCACCACATAAAAATAAACAAACAAAATAAAGGTATTATGTAAAACTAAAAAAAAATAAATATTAAAAAAGATGAAAGAATAGAAGAATCTACACCAAAATATTACTAGTGGTCATGTCCAGGTGGAAAAGTAAGGTGGTTTGGGATTTTCTTTATTCTTTTCTCTCTTTTCATTTTTATTAAGCATATGTTGCTTTAACAATCATGGAAATTTTAAATATCATACAGCTGGCCAGAGCCGTAAAGATTCTGAGCATCTGACTTACCCCATCAAAGGAGACAAGTAGGTTACTTCTCGGGACAAACACAGGTCTCTAGCTCTCAGATCAGACAACCCTGAGGACACTCAACTTATGGGATCAGTTACAACCCTGAGGGCCAGAGACTCATCAGACAGACAGACAGAGGGAAAAACTTTTTTCCTGACACAAGTTCTTCTTAATAAAGGAAATAGTATAAGTGATACATACACTATGAGGTAGGAAAAAACTTACTGCGGTGGACAATCTGGATGCCAGTGTCATTTCCAAGTTCCCTTTGAGACCGAGAAGGGCAGGAACTAAAATGAAAACTTCTGTTACGTTTTTGAACACCTCCCAGTGCTGCAAAAAATAAAAATAAGAAAATAATAAATAAATAAATAAAGATTTCTGATGTTATTTAAAAACCACTTAGAACAAAGACATTTCGAAAAATCCCCGTTCCCCCCGCCCCCCAACTTTGCACAGACATTCTGAAGTGCCACATTGGTCACCAAAACAGGGAACGTATAGCTTAGCCCTACCTGCTGTGCGTTGGGGCTTTAGAAGACTCAGGGGCAGTTGTGGTGACAGCTGACAGTCACTACCTCACATTCTACACTAGCATGCAACACACAATCCCAAAACTTGTGAATTTTTCATCACTTTATGACGGCAAGAGTTAGCATAACTAAGGTTAAAAGCACAGGCTCTAAAACCAGACCTTCTGAATTTGAACCTTGGTTCCAACACTAATTACAACAACCTCACAAGAAAATTACACTACTATCATTACCAAATTTCACAAATTAAGAAATAAAGATTCAGGGGCCGGGGTTGTGGCTCAGCGGTATGGCACTCGCCTAGCACATGAGAGGCACTGAGTTCGATCCTCAGCACCACACTAAAAGAAATAAATAAAATAAAAAGGTACTGTGATCAACTACAACTAAGAAAATACATTTTTTTAAAAAAAGAAATAAAATAACATATGATTGGTGGCATATTCCTATCATTTCACCAGCTCAGAAGGCTGAGGCGGGAGGACTGCTAGTTCAAGGTCAGCCTCAGCAATTTAGCAAGGTCCTAAGCAACTTAGTGAGACCCTGTCTCAAAAATATAAAGGGCTAGGGATGAGGCTCAATGATGTGACTAAGTGCCCCGGTGTTAAATCCCCAATACCAAAAAAATAATATAAAAAAGAAATGAAGATCCAGACGACACGTGTCATTCAATGATTTTCCCAAGGTCAAAAGATGGGAACTGCAATTGACTTCAGGAGTTCTGAGCAGTCCTGTGTTCTGTCCCCCTATTTTAGGGTGTGAAGCTGAGAGGCTGGAGAATACAAGATCATAAACAGCACAAACCAGAATAATAAAATTTTAATAATATTATCAATGATAGTAAATAAAATTTGGGTTTTTAATTTTTTTTGTAGTTGTAGATAGACAGAATGCCTTTATTTTATTCGTTTATTTTTATGTGGTGCTGAAGATCCAACCCAGTGCCTCATGCATGCTAAGCAAGCGCTCTGCAGCTGAGCCCCAGCCCCAGCCCCTAAAGTTTGTTTTTCTGGCCATGGATCTGTCACAACCTAGCTGCATGATCCTAGATGAGTCACATTATCTTTCTAATATTAATTTTTCATTTATGAAATGAAGATAACATCCACCCTGTCTAGCCCTTGAAGAAATATTACCACAGTTAAATAAGAGATAAGAAAGTACTTACGCTAAACTGAAAAGACCATATAAATACTTTAATAACACAAAATGATATTTTACAAATGCTATTAAGATATGATTGCCCCAGTAGGAGACTTTATGGGCTAAGAATAGTAACCTCATGCCAAAAAGTATCAGGAACACACATCTTATCATTAATTCCAAGACAGGTGAGAAAATAAAATATAAACCCATCAGATAAATGAAAGAAAAGTACAATTTGTTCCCAAAGTTTCCCTATAGGCTATTGCAAAAAGTTTATAACTGGGGAGCTGGGCGCAGTAGCACACACCTAAAATCCCAGCAACTCAGGAGGCTGAGGCAGGAGGATGCAAAGCCAGCCTCGGTGATAAAGCAAGGCCCTGTCTCATAATAAAAAATAAAAAGGGTTGGGGAGGTGGCTCAGTGGTAAAGCACCTCTTCGTTCAAAAAATAATAATAAAAAAAGTATAACTGGGGCTTAAAGAGTTCAGAAATGTTTGTCAGATCAGTCTTCTATAAAATCCCAGTTGAAAGAGCCAACTAAGGATATGGGGGGGGCGGGGGGGGGGGCAGGCCAGAGACATAGCTCAGTGGTAAAGCACTTATCTGGCATATACAAGGCCCTGGGTTCCGTCCCTAGCGCAAATGCATGCGCGCACACACATGCACACACACACACACAAAAAAAGAAAGAAAGCACTGGGATTCCAGTGGCACCCTAAATCTCTAGTCCTAATAAAAATAGGTAATCAGTGTTGTCCATATTTTCTAATGGGTTAAAATTCTCCTATGGAGACCTGGGGAGGTAGCTCAGTGGCAGAGTACTTGCCTAGTGAGGCCCTGGACTCCATCTCCAGAGCCTCACACACAAAAAAATTGAGTGTGCTAATAGAATAGCCTCCTTCCACGCTGGAATGATGGTGATGGCCATGACGATGTGAATAACAGGTGATAACAGTGACACTAACAGTATCTAACATGCACTCACTGTTCCAGACCCTGTTCTTTAGACTCCCGCATTTCATCTCAACCACAGACCTAGGAGCCAGGTACTGCTTTTATCAAATCCCAGACATGATTCTAGAATACATTTTAGATCATTTTCTCACACCTACCTAGACAGAAACAATGGGCTGATGTCACACTTTGGGCCTGCTGAGATGTACCCCTTTGGGCTACTCTTTTCTAGTCCAATTCAAATCAAAAATTTATAACCAAACAGAATTACTATGAAATCCCCAACGACTCGGCATTGGTGTGATAGAGTAAGAGGTGTGAATCACTGACTTCCTATCTTTGCCCCAAACATTCTTTTCTCTCCACCGCCAGGCCTGTGCTAGGAGAAGCTCCCAAACTTTCTTAGTCCTGGCACTCTCAGTATCTCAGAAAGGTGTTCATGGCATCTCTAGGACAAAAGAAATATGTAGAAGTCCTATTATTAAGTAGTTGTCTCGAAATAATAAGTATTTTCCCCCAAAATTTAGTAGTCATTAGTTTCTGAAGGTATCCTTCAGAAACTAAAAAGAAAGTCTTTCCAAGACCAGAAAATTTCAGAAAATTCATCCCCACAGCTGACTTTAGCAGAAGTGTGTGAGGGAGTCCCAAACTAGACGCAAAAGAATGGGACCCCTCAAGACACCAGGCAGAAGCACAAAGCGCGCTACAGCAGACACGGAAGGGAGGAAGAGGAGGACCTACCAACATTGAAAGCGACAATACAGTAAAAAAAAAAAACCCATAATGGCATTTTATATAATCATGATTATTTACTAGTAGAATAATGTGTGCCTGTTGGGCACTGTGTAACCTGTCAGGTCTTAGAAATGGAAATTATCGTCTTCATTTCTTATTTTATATTGGTTTTCTGAGACACTTTTTTTGAGGGGGGCATCAGTACTGGAATTGAACCCAGGGCCTTGTGCATGCTAGGCGAGCACTCTAACACTCAGCTACATCTCCAGCCCTTTTCTTTTCTTTTTTTTTTTTTTTTTTTGAAGCAGGGTCTTACTAAATGGCCAAGACTGACCTCCAACTTGTGATCCTCCTGCCTCGGCCTCCTGAGTAGCTGGGATTACAGGTGTGTGCCACCTCTTACCACAGATACTTTCTCTTTAATCACAGGAGGAGGACCTACCAACACCGAAAACCAGGCCTCAAAGATGAGCAAGAAGAAAGGAACACGGGTAGACACAGGGGACAACCTGCAAAAACTTGCATCAAACGACAAGAGCATGTCACTACTTATCAATCAAACCCTGGGAGTAAGAGGAGTAAATTCTCCGCGTAGATTCAGACTGGCTGACTGGATTACAACAAAACACAAAAGCAGCACCGGGGACACGTTCCCTGCAGGAAGCTCACTTCCTGGTAAAGCCACCGAGTAGAGTGGAGGGACGGAGAAGGCCATCACACAGAGGGAACCCCAAGGAGCAGGACGAAGCTGGGCCAAAGCAGTTAACAGAGCAGCTCACCAGGCAACCACATGGGATCCCCTCCACAAGGAAATACCAATTGTAAATAGACACACACCCGCTGCTGGGACCTCCCAATGACACAAAGCAAACCTGAGCAGACAAAAGGGGGAGAGAAGCTCCAATACAGTAACAGACGGAGACCTACCACCCCACCGTCACCAGCGCACAGTCCATCTAACAAAGAAGACCATGAAGAACCATCAGAATCAAACCAAACCAGGGGCCAGATGGGCCTCACAGCGTTTATCCATGAAGAAGGGGAAGAACATGTACTGGAGAAACATGCCTAACAGAAAATCTAAGACGGACACGGTAACTGAAACACAAACGGACGGAACAAATGTCTATGAAAAGAAAATTCACCAAAACTAATCCAAAAAAAAGAAAGAAAGAAAGAAAGAAAATCTGATTAGTCCGGAGGCTTTAAAAACCCGAGTTATAGTTGGGTATAGTGTGTGCACCTGTCCCAGCAACCAGGCAGGCTGCAGCAGGAGGATCAACTGAGCCAGGAGCTGAAAACCAGCCTGGCAGATAAACTTCCCACAGAGAGAGTTCCAGGCCGAGAGGTCTTCATCAAGAATCATAGCAAACATGTAAATAAATAATGACAGTTACATAAACCCTTATTAAGAATAGAAAGGGAAAGAGTATTTTCAAATCCATTTAAGGGACCAGCATTACCTTGATACAGAAATCTGCCAGCTACAAAGACCATTACAGGTTGATCTTACCCACAGATACACGTGCCAAAATTCTCAACAAAACATTAGCAAACTTGACCAGAGTTTTACAAAAGCAACATTAAGACTGGTTATATTTATTCCAGAAATGTAGGGTTTAATAAATGTTATTGAACATTGCAATCAAGGAAAAAAGCAATATATCAATAAAAAGAGAAAAAGCATTTGATCAGTCAACATCCATGCACAATTTTTTTAAAAAAGAAACATTAGTAAGCTTAAAAAAGAAGTCTTGCCGGGCGTGGTGGTGCTCGCCTGTATCCCATAATCCCAGTGGCTCGGGAGCTGAGGTAGGAGAATTGCAAGTTCAAAGCCAGCCTCAGAAACTTAGTGAGGTCCCAGGTAACTCAGTGAGACCCCGTCTCTGAAAAAAATACAAAGGGGGGGGGGCTGGGGACATGGCTTAGTGGGTAAGCTCCCCTGGATTCACTCCCTAGTACCAAAAAAAAAGTCTTAATTTGATAAAGAGTATTATAAAACCCAATAGCAAAACCCATATTTACTGGTGAAA